CTTTTCTCAAGCATGTCAAGTTCGAACGTGTCGACAGCGGCTCCATTCAGGTATTTGCGTATGTCGACGGTGTGCAGATCATGAGGCAAAGGGAGACCGCGATGATTCTCTACTCACGCAGACTTTGGATGGAATCTCCCCCCTTTTAGAATCGCAGCAACATCTCCTGACTCATCCTGATGTCCGATGGATCTGTCCGAGATCAGAGCTATCACTTTCAGTTCGGACGCCGACGATGTGGCCCGATGGTTCGCGGTACGTAACTCCGTCTTCCTCATATCCATTCATTGGTTACATAGACCCTCCTTAAAGGGTCTTTACCCAATCCGGAAGTACTCATATTGGTTTCACTACGCGAGCTGTATGTAGGCTATGTCTTTGAGAGACTTTCTGTATACAAGCTCAAAAATTGTGTATTGGAACCCCCGGGACGCACTGGAAGCACAGAAGTGGCTCTTTCTCCTATGGCTGAGTTTTGTTCCTTAGAGGAGATATCCTTGCCTTACATTGGCGACGAGGTAAGTTTTTATTAGCGAAAATATTGATCAGGTTTCAATTTTTCTTGGGATGCCGTGATATTGAACCTTGCAAGAGCGCCTAGTCTAGCTCACGTCAAATTTTCTGTCGAAATCGACGCCAATGCTATGGATCAGATAGGCAAGACATATGGAACGCTCGTGAAGACTCTGCAAACGGTTTCGTGGGTTAACCAGATAACCGTAGGCTCGGAGCGAGATATAGAGGGAGAAATCATCCGTACGGTATCCAGGGCTTATGAAGAACCAGCTTGGCCTGAGTTTGGGACTAAAGCAAGGAAAGAAATAGGTTTTCAATATTTTTACACTGTGGTACATTGGTCCCAGACCATTGTTGTTGCGTATGTTACAAATCATCTGTTGCACAGCTGACATAGTAGGACTCATTTTCCCAGTTAAACCGATTCTGACCCAATCCTCATAGATATAACGATGGGCTAGCAATCCATTTGTCAGTTGTCGTAGAATGAGTGTGCGGTCCGCGTACCATCTCCATTCCTTTGTTGCACTCGCATTCAGATGTAAATCTCGACTGAGAGTCACCTTTCGGTTTCAAGAACTGGGAACTTGGAATCTTTCGGAGCTCCTTTCGTGCATTGAGCCTAGACACTTGGGTAAGCTACCACAGAATCCTGGACGATGGCGCTTAGCACATACATCGCTAACAAAGAGTTGATAAACACTGTAAATAAACAAATGTGTCAAAATCCGTAGATCCGTGATGAACGACTGACGTCTGGGCAGCATGAAATCGATGCCAATGAATATGAGTGTGTGTGGCCAAATGAGAAACTGCGTCGGTCATTAACTTGAGATTAGATAGGCACAAGTGATTGATATACCGTTATAAGAACAGCTGTAGAGCACACGCTGTGTACCGTTGTGAGCCAGTCGCAAAGGTACCAAGATTGATGTTCACCTCGTAACCAGCCCAGATATCAGAATCAGCCTCATCAGCGCAACCAGCATCGCAATGGTGCTGAGTTTACATGATATCAATTCCATAACCCGGGGAGAACTGGCTAGATCACGGACTTTGGAAATATCGAAGCTGTCCTGCTTCTATTCAGATAATAGCACATGGCGATGGATACGATAAAATCGACTGCTGTGCTCGTTGAGAACAACGCAATGATTGCACTCTACATCAGGTAAGATACGGGACAAAGAATGGATGATATATACGCACTCCGATGGTGGGGACCTCGGAGAAGCCAGAGATCCCGTAACTGTTGGAAGTGTCATTGACTTTGAAAATATGTAGCGTAACACTTGAACCTCACAGTCCGTGAACTAGATCTGATGAGAAGGAGGGTATGAGGCATAATGGCGAGCAAGAAAAGTACAAACTTACACATTCCGGTGCCTATAGAAGTGAAGGGGAAATTATAGCTGCGGAGACCGAATAACGGGGAAAGCATCCGAGTTTCACGTACCGGCATTGCAAGCAGTGATGAGTGCCTGCAAGGGAAATACACGTGAAAAGAATGGCCGATAATCGGTGAGATGAGCGTACAACAAACCAGGGTATGACTTTATGAAGGTGTTGTTGGGCTGGTCATCGGTAAATGTTAGCAAAGAGGCGGGGCAAAGAGGCGACAAGCGACCTTTCCACAGCCTCACAGCATATACACTACGCGAGGTGAGCTTGATGAAGCAACGAAAGCTTAGATAGTAACACACGCTTGAACGGCTACTTTGAAAAATGTCTGAGTAGTATAGCAATTTAGTTTCGTCTAGTGAGTGTAAGGTGGTGGATTACGCACGCTAAGAAGAATATGCAACTGTCGACAAGAAGTAAATTACTATAGCCGCAACGAAACGATCGTAGTACAAACCTTGCAGCTCCTTTCATGCCAGATAAAGTCAGCGAGACGATACAGCGAGCACGTAGGTCACGTGCCAAATGATTTCAAGTTGATCCATAGTGAGGAACCTGCCCACTATTCGAGTTTCGACAAGAAGGAAATACAATGCATGAGTACTAATTGCGACATCTAGTGCATCTAGGACCCTGTATAAGGTTATCAGAGACATTGTATATCGACTCGAAATTCGAGACGGCTCACCAGATAACCGCTACCTGTTCAACAAACACCTCAAGCCCGACTGGAGAACATAAATATCTAAGGCACGCACAGCGACTCGATAGAACCACCAGTCATTTGGGTATTGCTTGAAGTACCAGACAGACTGGAGATTAGATACCCCAAATAGACTGTGCGCAGTGATCCGGCGTCAGTTGGCCGACGGTAGATGGAATTGAAGCTTACATGGCAGAAAGAATGGCCCCGACGAGAATTACCCCGAACGTGGCACCGAGTAGCGGGATTTGTACAGGGATCAAAGCCATACAGAACTTTGAAAGAGGAGAATAGAGAAAGAAAGAAAAACCTTGTTGAAGATGCAAGGCCTGCAGATGGGTTTAAATAAATCTCTGTCTATTATCACGCAAAGGTGCTATGGACCCATTCGGTAAATATTTCTCATCATCACTTATCGGAACTCGAGGCATATGCCTCGGTAACGTTCAGGCTCAATTGCGGGACCGCAAGAAGCAGACACCACCCAACGAGACCACATGAAAGCTGGTCACGGTTGTATCGAGGACAGTGTGGGTTGTGCGTTCCTGGTGTAAAATCCCCCGCAGATAAGGCGATACCCAGGATAGCATCTTCCTGCTATTAAACGCCATCTTCTGCTAAACCTCTTCACTGCTCAAAAGTATCGGAATGATTTCAATGCGATAACAGGCTAGCAGGTGATAGTGACACTTTACTTTTGGTTCGCGCTCTGCCCTTCAGTTGCTCTCGCGCATCAATGAAAGATATCCTTCAGAGAAGGAACATTCGGCACCCCTTCTCTGTCACATGGTTTGAGATTCCGGCAGCTTGTTTTACAGGCAGTCAATGTCAATATGCGGAAGTTGTATACCAGAAGGCATTTCTGGAGCTCGCATCACACTCTTACTATTCTGCGCGCCTAATGGTTAGGTATGCGGTTGGTCCAAAATACTACTTACCGAGGAGCACAGCTCGGCAGGGTGGTTGATTTCCTCTGCGTCATCTTTTCTTGGAACCAGGCTGGAAAAGTATCACCAAAAAAGACATTCGCTGCTCTATCGTGCGCTAGGATTTGTCCAATGCCTCTCGTTTCCAAGATAGAATACCGCCCAGCCGGGAGGATGGGAAACCGGAACGAATGAGGAAGACAATGAACGAGGGCCATTGATCTCAGAGCCACTCATCTTTTCTCTTCGAGAAGTATCAAAGGCAAGATACGCGTGCGGCCCCGGGGGCATTGAGTAAAAACTACGTCTGGCGCGTGCGCAAGCCAGCTCGGAGCGATCTACTCTTCCTCCTGTTGATGCGCATTCCATCTATGTGGGTCATCAAGGAGAACATACTGTTTGTACCGCCCGGAGAGGTGATGCAATTGTATGCTGATGATAGAATCAATTAATGGGTGACCGTGTACACAGATACGGCGGAAACCCCATTCTGCAGGCCGAGCGTTAGAAACATGTCAGCAGTTGGTGTCGCCTACATACCATGTGCAGCGGGCCCAAAATGGCTGATCACAAGGTGATCTCCTTGGTGTCCTCTTTTTCCGAGCCTCACCTGGCCACTAGAATATTTTGAACCAATCTTCCTTTCCTGTCTGAGGCGTCTCATTCCCAAGATAGACATCAAGCGGATGACGACAAAGGGTGGGGATTATTCATCCAAAGTTTTCTGGGGCCAGAAATAAATGAATAGAGTTGCGAGAAAGGTCGCCATTCCAAGAGCCCCCATTCAACTTCGGGAAAAACATTCCTATTCCGTTTATAAGAGGCACTATACACATCGTCAGTCTCAAATCAGATATGCTTATCTTTTAGAGATCGTACAACAGTCCATGAATGCGCAAAGAATAGGTGCCACGGACGGCCTCCGCTCTCTACAATGCACGTCGCGATAAATGAGAACATCTCGAGCTGGCGCACGTATATCCTGAGTTTCTGGCAGCCTTTGATCGCCAACCATCCCTTTTCTACCTGGGTGACCTATGGCGATTTAGCAGTGCATGACAAGGTCAGGGTCGTAGTCGTGGGTACCATTCATACATGCTTTCTTCCCTTCAGGCAACGAATGCGAGATCAGGGGAGAGAACAAGCATGCGAGAGGGAATGGAAAACAGAGAAAAAGCGCTATCATCCCGTAGTCTCAGCACCCTGGTTTAGTTTCCAAGTTGGATGCACGTACCTCCCAAGTCCTCCTTTTACACCCGCTGTTCTCCTCCGAGCTGCTCTGCCATGGAAGCTCTCGAGAATGGACTACCGCGTCTTCGTTGGCTCTTTGAGTAAGTAAGTAAATATCAGATTGGAAGACCGCTCCAAAGTCAGGTTAGTGGTAAAAAAGAGCGTGTTGAGGGTGATAATCCATAGATTACATATGTAATTATGATTGAACACGGTATAATTAATCTCTGATAGTATATCGGTTAGTACACGCGCCTGTCACAATCCATGTTGCCGGGGTACGCGCGAAAGCTGGGTTCGACTCCCAGTCAGAGAGTAGGTCTCTTATGTTCGACTTTTCAGTCTCGGCCCAGGCTTGATTCTTTTTCCAAATGTTGACTGTTCCGTAGGAGGGATCTGTCAACGGGCCCGTCTTTATGTGCCCCGAACATAATTTTGCAATATGACCACGACAGGGCTGGATGGGACCGCTCTTTGTTTGGAAGACACATCTCTCTGAATCTGACTGCATCCTCTTCTTGTTGACCGTGCGACTCGGACCAATGGCAGCAGATAGAATACAGACTCACACTCTGTGGGCTCAGAAAAATGCGTGCGTGCGTATGCCGGGTTCGACTCCCAGTCAGAGAATGAGAGAGTATGCGATAATAGCTTTTTTCCCTGCGAATGAGTCTTACAGGCTACAATCGTTTCGTGACCTCCCCTCACCCACCATTCAGAGAAAACGGCACCATGCAAATTAAAATGCCTGTTCGCCGACTTTCCGTGATTGTTGGTGATACCACTATGATTATCCCGCTCTTGATAACTCCTCAGTACTGACCCAAGTACGTCCCCGTTCTAGTTGTATCTCAACCATCGGCCCGCCCAGAAGAGAGAGACGGGGCTAACCGCGACAGATAACGTGTTCTCTGGAACCCGGAATGTGCTCTCGCCACAACTCTGGCATGAAAAGTAAAATCAAATACACACGCCTCTCAAGGCATCGCATCGGCTCTGTATGATACAGGTACGAGCCACCCAGAATGTATCGGATCGCCAAAGATTATGATGAATACAGTTTTAGACCACGACGCGACGGAGGTGTGGGGATCGCCCTTTGCTTGGAAGACATATCGGTTGACATCCCTCTCATCATCGACGGCGTATCGTCTGGGGAACAGGGAACCTCAGTCGACGCAGAACTAGGCCGGTAAGGCTGAAATGACGTCAGATATGGAATAGAGACATTACCACAACGGATTTACCTTAAACTATCGCCTGGCTAACTGCGCTTTTCTTTCTTCCGCGCTGATCTTTTAGCTTCCAAAACTTGAAAGGTCCAGCATTTGCTCGAATCGATGCTTTTTACTCGCTCGGCGCAGTCATTCAGAAGACTGGTTTGGTGGTGCCGTCGTTAACGCGCTCGCGATGCAGAGGTACCGAAACTAGTCTGAGGTTTTAGATGCAAAGTTCGAACTAATGAACTCGGAGAACGTACTAGACGTGGAATTGAGATGCATACGTCCAAAGGCCATTCTACGATGGCGCCGAATGAAGGAGCGCTCCGAATTCGGGGGAACGTACGATGTTCGATGCAGTCAGAATGTACGATTGTTGGTCCAAGCCGAGAGCTAGATTTCGAGTCTGATCTTGTGTATGAGATGGGCGGGCAGAGGTGGCGTGAGCGCGTGCTTGGCTTGAGGCGAGGAGAAAAAAGGCGAGACGGTATCCTAATTAGTCGAATCCACCATGTACTCACATAATTTCGTCCATATCTCCCCAATGGGCCAAAGTCTTGAACCAAACGAGAAGAAGCGTGTCGGCTGCAAGTAACATATTCTCGTCGCTAGGGATGACAGCGAGAAACTCTTCATCATGCACAGTGAGCACAAGTTCCCGTATCGAAATGTGAACAAAACTTGGGAGATCCATGGACGATTGGCCTTTGACGCGTGCTTGAATCGATATCGATACCAGCCAGAAATCCCTCTTCCCAAGTCCGAATGAGGCTGCTCTCTCAACCGCGCGGACCACCATATTCATACTCTCAGGTTTCTTGCCTTCTTGGAACCATCTCGCTCGCGGAACTGAACTGCGGGGGGTTATATTGAAGCAATGGCGGGACGAGGGGTAGAGGCTTACAGCAGCCGTGATGCCAGGATTTCCGTGAACTCGTAGGTTCAACATCGCCCTCCTTGGCGCATGGTAAGCCAAAATAGCAACCATAAGATGCGCACCCATTCCAGTTCTCGTCGAATCCATGGAAACAGCTGTATTTGAATAATAACGTATCCCATATTTATATTCTCTGATAGTATATCGGTTAGTACACGCGCCTGTCACGCACGAAGTGTTGCGCGCGAAAGCTGGGTTCGACTCCCAGTCAGAGAGTTCTGCTTGCTGTGCGTTAAAGTTTTAGTGCTGTGGTACCCTACTACTATCCACTCAAGCAGATCTGCTCACTTGTTGTATTATGGAGTTCATGTTTTGTCCAAGAGGGGGGATTAGTCGCTATTGTTTGAATGAGAGAAAGCAATACGTGTATCAGCTTAAACCTATTTATATATAGAGATAGTTTCGCCCTGGGTTGTACTTGAAGACAAGATAAGTTCAGGCTCGAAAACACCAAAAGTAATATTTCCTCATCAGGGAAACAGGAGTAAGTTTGAGTTCTTGAGAGAGGAAGATTCGTACTTGCGCGTCATGGAGATACCTACAAAGCATGACGCCCAATAGCTGGGTTCGACTCCCAGTCCCAGACTATATGAAGTAAAAAAAAACTCTCTCTATTTTTCTTCACCGTATGTGTCTTGTCGAATGAGAATTTGTATTCTACAACGTAGGTTACGTTACTGTGTTCGTGCTCTGGGATTCTGGGAGAACCTCTCGCTATCAGATCATCCTGGAGCTCACCAAAATCGAGGAGGAAAGCATCTAAAATAAGTATGTTGTTGTACATATTATTATATATTTAAACCTCCCCCTACTCATGTTAAAAAAAAAATGAATGGACGTTCATGGATACAGACAAGAACTTGACAACATAATAAAGGAAGAAAAAAAAGAAAACAAGCAAATAGCGCAAATTTGGAAGCACACGTACGAATAATATCTCTCCCGCTCAAAAATTTTAAAAAATAGACATATCATGCCCTAATCCTCCATCCGTCGCCTTTCCGACTGACCTTGCCCACACCTCCGAAGCCCTCCCTCACGACGAGCCATAATCCCGTGCTGCAAACGACATCCTTAATCTCCTCGGCTGTAAATACAAGGCCGGTGGGGGCTACACCACAACAAGACATGAGACACAACACGAGAAAAAGAAAAGAGACGACGCTTACTGCCCTCGCTAACCACCTTTCTCCCAACACCGTCCCCCTCCCCTTCCCCAAGACTGACTACCCTCCTCCTCACGATGCCAACTCGCTCGACCTCTACGTCCGGGAGTGGGTACGGCACTTTGAGCATCGCAACTACCTTTGGATGATGCGGTGTTGGTGAAAGCGTCCCGACCTTGAGCTTCACAGACGGCACCGACGCAGGAGAATTCCTATTCGTCGATGTCGACGTCCTCGGTAACGTTGGACCAAGACGTTTCACCTTGACGGTACACGTCCACGGTGTTTCCGAATCCTCCGGATCGCTCTCCTCTCCATCGTCTTCCTCGGTTCTGGATTTTGAAAATCCATCTGCACTCGTAGCCGACACGGAGCTCACGCTGCCCACGCTCGTTCGCTTTCTCCGTGCCGTGCCGGGCCTGTGAAGATTCTTGGCACCCTTCTTGCTTTTCGATTTCCCCCGTCGCCATTCGACACGAACTTCGCTTCCTTCGCCGACGGCGGTCTGACTGGATCCTCGTAACATGCCTGCGAGCACACTGCCCCCTTCCCCCTTGAGCCATCGCCTCACGGTCCAGACATACATCGCGGGTCCGCGGCCGCTAAACACTCCTCTCGCAGCTGGTGGATAAGCGGACGACGTGAATAAGGTAACAAGGGTGGGGTAAGCCGCAGGGTTTGGTGTGGAGATCGATAATAGTGGCTGGATACCAAGCGTAGCCGGAAGAAGGACTTCACGGGGAACATTAGCTGCTGTCATAGCCGCTACAGGTTCCTCCTTCTCTGCCAGCGGTACATCGACAGATCTTCGGGGAAGGATGGGTGACGGCGTACGACGGGAAGAACTGGCAGACAGATTCCGAGCATGCCGTGCTTGCGTCGGTGTCGCGTTTGGCGTAGGAGTGAACGGCGTTGCGTCTTTGGAATTTCGCTTGAACATCTTCCCGAACAAGTTCCTTCGAACCTTGTCCTCGCTCGTAGCAGACGGGGCGTGCGAGCCTGAGCTTGATAGTGAAACAGCGCTCGAAGCAGGGCTGGGTCCGGTAGGGGGCATCAGTGCGCCAGTCGACGCACGCGACACTTGCTGTTTCAGCTCTCTGATGTCGCCTTTCGACGCTGCCCACACCTCGACGGGCTCCATCACGGCCAGATCAATTAACTCCATTCCCCTTTTGGAGAATTTAGCGATCTTGGCGTCGGTGCCAGCGTCGACGATGATGTTCGTCATTACATTGTGAGCCTGCAAGTTGTAGAGGGGGATAATCATTCGCCTCCCGCTGGTGGTTGATGAAACGGAAGAAAAAGATGATGTCGAAGATAAGTTAGATTGGGTGCGGCTCAAGGGTGTTTCAGGAAAGGTATCATCGATAGACTGTCGGGGGGTAGGCAGACCTGGTGCACGGGTATTCGGTGGAACAAGTTGAACTTGGAGATTCAAAGGATGATTAGACTTTGCAGGTGGTGGCCGTACAAAAATAAATGTCTGAAGTAAATATAACCATTAGCAAAATCTCCAAATGGCATAAATAATATCAATACGAACCTCGCTGGCTTTTTTCTCTCTTTCTCTTCTCTCCGTCTTCGATTCTCCTTCGACGGTCTCTTCTTGTACATCCTCGTCGTCTTCTTCCTCCATCACGATCGGTTTTGGCGTCGTAGGAGATGAGTTGCCATTAATATGCAGCACAGAAGGCAAAAAGGAATTGAGCGAGGAAAACATCCCTCGCCGTCGTCGTCACCGTTCGTGGGTTACCGTCTGGATGGTGATGGTAATGGTGAGAGCGAATCCGAATTTGCAAATGACACCAGAAAAGCGGTTGCGAGAGAGGAAACACGTAAGCGGCTGATGGTTTCCGATTTTGGCAATCAACTCTGCTCGTACGATGAAAACAAATACAATCCGGCTTCCGTATACGGAGGTTCGGGCACTTTTTACGTAGAAATACGAGAATAAGCGGTGGATTTACTGAGAAATTATCAACCAAATGTTCGGATTGCGGTTCCCCGGATGGCTCAACCTATTTGAATTTTAGATCCACGGCGTACAATTTGCCCCTGGTGTAAGGGGTGATGCGTCATTCGGTTGGGGCCCACGTCATCATCTAAGACCTGATAGGATCTGGTTCTCGGTATCTGTATTTCTGCCACGGAAGGCCACAACGCCCAATGCACCGTGCACCGTGGGCGGCGTAGAAATCGTTATCATACGATTAACCATACTTACGGAATTCAAACAGCTCGGAAGGATCATGACAGTCAAAATAACCGGGAAGAAGCCTTTCAACGCCCGATAATTTCCTTACTCTGTGCATTGACGCCAAGAATGGATATCACCTAATGACCGTGCACAGAAAATAATACAATAGTGATCCGAGTTAACCGGCTATCAAACGAAAGAGGTATTGTGCTCAGTTCTTGAGACACGCGCCAGGGCTTTGGTTAAAAATCATGTCAGCACCCTCATTCATACTAGAAACGTATGTTAACCCTGATACTTCTAATGTTCCTCGTACAAGTTGAAGTGTCACCGGACTCTGACATCGGGTCAAAAGGTGAAGAATAGAAGTGTTAAATGAAAGGGGGTGATTTATCCTTCAATTTTTTTGTCGAGGGAATCCATGACGACGGAGTTGTTGGGCATGAAACGCCCAAATGGATTTGCTGCTTCATCACGTGATGGCTAAAGTGCCTATTATGACAGGATAATTGCCTTTTGTAGAACGTCCACTCCGCTCAAAACTCAGTGATAAGAGATCTACCCGGAAATTTCAATACAAGAAGCGTGCGGCTTGGGCCGTTGAGTCTTCTTCTGTTTTGGAGTTTCATTATGGGAAGAGAATGTATCGGATAGCGGCCTAGCCCTGATAATCGCAACACTGAAGATCTTATTGGAAGCTAAGCACTCCGTCCGATACGCATCAGGAATAGGTAATTCTGTCGAGAAACGCACTAGGGCCGCCTTGATGTTGCCTAACTAGCTATTTTCCTCGCATCCCTGGCGGCTAAACTAGGTAGAAGGCGAGTCCATTCGCTGGATTCTGGCAATCTTGTCGCCGTCTTCCAGGCAGGCGCAAAGGCTCGCAGTGAACCCGTCATAGTTGCCTCGACAGAGCTACGCATCGGTTCCGCCGAGTGATAGGAGAACTGTCAGCACGGATACAGCGTAAGCATGGAACAACCGCAAGAGCGATCGATATTTCAATAGTCTTGGTCGAGAACTACTGATTCGTAAGCGCGATGTGTCCGGGATATCACATTCTTTCCCGACTGAGTGAGTTATGCTGACGATAATTATGACTGAGGTTCCCACGGCGGCCGCTAATTTGCCGGATTGCCTTTGTATGTATCACTGTAATTTGTAACCTAAGAAATCAGTAGTGATGTCGTGGGGACTCGCTGTAATCCACAACGGCAGCTGCGAAACCAGTTCGAACCTTCCGCGAACACGGCGTTGACTGTCGCAGTTATAAACGATGATCAGAGAAACCTCGGTTCACCGTTCTTCCTAGAAGGAAATTTCATGATTTTCAGGCAACAACAGTAGCCAGTGGTAAATTTAAATCCGTCAAAAATGACGAAGCGCGGCGGATAGGATTATTGTTCGTGCCTTGGTTCTTTTTTTTCTACAAAAATACAACCTCTTTTCTAGTTATTATCCAATATGTATGGTTGTGTCCGTCGTCAAAAGACACAACTCGCGTCACTTACGTCCCTTGGTTCGGGAGAAGAGGCATGGGAGATTCCACCTCTGCTTTGCTCTTCTGATACTACGTTCTCACTACCAGCACTAGAGCCTGTGCCAAAACCATTCATTGTAATCTTCTACTCAAGTTGAATACCTGGACTATTGACTCTATCCGCCTCTGAAGACCTCCAACTGAGTGCAGGGATTCAACGAGACCTTTTGAATGTTCGCACATCTTTCCGGCTTATAGTCTTCCTGCTTTATTCAGTAGCTCTCGTAATCGGATCCCTAGCGTTCTTAGTCCTGGACTGTGATCATGCGCTTAGTCTGGTACAGCTCTACTCTTTACAAGGCTTTCCCGAATA